GGCTCTCCGCCGGTGCACCGCTGGCCTTGTACGGGTATGGAGTGTTTCGTTCATTGTCAATGAGATCTATTTACCAGTTAGACGTCGGAAGCTGGTCTACGGGATATCTGAGGGGTCTCATACATGGCGGAATGGAGTTCTCGATCATCGAGAGCACCGGTGCTTCAAAACCCCAGTCACCCTTCCAGTCCGCCATGGTATTACCAGTCTTGAAATGCTCTGCCAGATGCTCAACACGAGAAGTCCAATTCGGGAGTACAACTCCACAGAAACCGCAACGCGACCGAATCTCTGGTGTGGCAACCTTCCATGCTTTCATAGACCAATCCACAAACTTTACGTTGTGAACTAGGCGCAGATGCTGGTTGAGATGATCCTTCCGGTAGAAGGTGCGCTCTTCAATAGTTCTCTCCTGGCAAGCTGTGTGGTTGTGTGATTCGACGTGGGCATTGTCGGGGTTGGCTTCGCCGCAGAAGACGCACGACAGCTGGTTCGTCTGCGGGTTGAGAGCCACAGGTCCGTCAGGGGCGCATACCCATCTCTCCAATGACAAGTGGAGAGACTTTTCGTGCCGTTGCCAGTCGTGCTTTGTTCTGAACGTCTCGGTACAGAATGTACACTGAAAAGTCTTGAGAGGGGTGGCGAGGGACGTCTTCTCGTCGGTGGGCTTGCCACCAGCGCGCCTCCTGCGACGCCTGCGGCCGCGGTTGAAGGACCCAAACGAACCAAAAGATCCGCGGGAGGCATGCGAGTAGGCAGAGGCAAAAGAGCCGCCCGACGAGTGCGAAGTGCCGACACTGCTCGCCGAGGAAGCATTGCACTGAGACCTACCCGACCCATCATCCGTGAAGTTGAAGCTGTAAGGGCTGTTGAGGCCTGAGGAAAGTCAGTACACGCAATGGCCGATATGTATGGCGGGTATGTATGTACCTGATGAAGAGGCCCCCGAGCTGGAAGCAACGGCGCGAGCAATAGCCGTGACGGTGGCAGGTTCGTTTTCGGGCGGAGAGTCCACCCAACGCTCCAGTGGGTTCATGCGGCTCGTTCTGCCATCGGGAGCGGGAGTGCCCCGTCTCTGTGGAATATCGATTGGACCGGTCCAGCTGCTGCGGACGTGAGGTGATGTGGAGCGAGGTGCCTGTGTCTTGCCCCGACGCCGGGCGTTGGCAAGCCAGTTGGTGATCTGGGTCTTATTGAGACCCGTCTGACGCTGGAGCATCTCTTTCTCTTCATCGCTAGGGTAAGGGTGACGAGTGTGCGTAGAGAGCCAGTTCTTGAGGATCCGTACCGATTCCCTCGAGAAACGGGCGCCAATTTTGGCTGGAGTTGCCGACTTGTTAGGTACCGGCATGGTAGGTTCTTCTGAAGAGGTGCCCAGGCTCTTGAGCAAGTCTGGCGTCGATGAGCCCGGTATGCCAACAGGCATTGCACCATCCTCCTGAGGTATGGCACTGGGATGGTCTCCCATGGTGGGCCAGGGGTTCTTGGGAAGATTGTCCATTTGGAATAAGTCAGGCTGGGTAGCGAAGCTGCACTCGTTTCGCAGAGCAACACAGGAAGTGCAGTAGTTTTTGTAGCGACCCTCTCGAATCTTTTTGCACTGGTAGCCTCCGAGGGTGCAGTTATCGCAGGGAAAGTCCGGGGCGACCCACCAGTCTTCAAGCTGGTCGCACTGTTCCTTATCGAAGGTACAGTTGGTGTTGAAAGATTGGGCCATGGCGCTGGTCAGTTGCGCGTTCAGGGGGCTCAGGGTGTTGTTGTCAGAATGCAGGGCACCCGGCGCATTCTCTGCCGAGAAGTGCTGAAGAGCGAAGAAGCCAAAGTCGTCGTCATCCACGTTCTCCAATACGAGATCCAGGTTGGGGTCGGCGTGCGAGACGTCCTGGGAGGGCATGTTGAAGATGTTGCCCACCTCTGCGGCGGCCGCCTCCCAGTTGACGAACTCGTCCATGTCCTCGTGGATGGTTGTCATGATTAGGGAGCGCCCTTAATGAAGGGCGCGGTTGGTCGATCTGGATGACCTGCGGAAGGGCGTCGGTGTCATGGAGCGGCTCCTGCAGATGTAAGTCGACAGGGCGTCACAACCAAGAGCGTTGTCAATTGTCAAATGCCAACTGCCACAGAGCAAACGAAGCCCCGCCCAATTGTAAGCCTGTCGGAGCAGACAAGATGATGGAATCGGGAGACTAGTTCGGGTCTGGCGGCGTCTTGACAAATACAGAACAGGAAGGGTCGGAGGCAAAGGAGGAATTGGTATAAAGATGAAGGATACAAAAGACGGAGGAAAACTGGTTCCTGGCATCGAAATCTTTTATTCAAAGCCTCGCGCAGTTTCGCAGCAAAGACGAGGTCAAGCCAGATGGACGTCCCGCGTCGATGGGTGTTCCCAAGTGGGAGTCACCAATGGCTGGGTTGGCTCGCCAGACCAGACCGGGATCTGTATGGGTCGCGTGTGCATCAACTTGTCAAGAGTGCGCCCTTCGCTCGACAAGTCTACACCCTTTGGACGGGGACACCCCCACCTTTACATCTGCGCCGGGGTGCCGCTTGGACTTTTAGGTGCTAAGTAGCAGCCTCCAGTGTTCGTTTGCGGAGGGAAGGAACCTAACTGCGGAGTCGACATCGGAGTCGTGGGTTGGTGTAGATGCAGATAGCCAACCTCGACGTCGGCCGACTCGTACAGGCCTTCATGAGCTGCAATTGAGTTGAAAATCAACTAAGTCCCGGCAGTGCCTCTTGTCGATGCTGTCCCGAACAACACGCGCGCCATCGAGAGCCATTGGCTGGCCAGGAACCCGTCAGATGATGCTTGGCGGTATCTCGAATACACACTTGGACCGGGCATCATAAGCGCTTGGGGACTTTGGTGGTCATCCTGCGCCTAGGTAGTCCGGCTCAAATCCCGGGGTCCTTTCTAGAAGTCTCAAGTCATTTCTAGGTTGGCAACCAGCGCTGCACAGGACGAACTCAACATGCCATTGCAGCACAGAGGCTGCAGCTCGGTGGTCTGCCTCGCTACCTGGTTGGCGTGTCCAATGTAGGTAGGCTGCAACGCAGCCTGCCGTACCCATGCTCGTTCTGCTCGATGATGGTTGATGGGCGTTCGAAATGCCCGTCTGACGGTGAGGCCGTCAGCACAATGACGGTTGAGCCAGGTCCTATGGCCAACCCTCGGTGTGTCGTTACCGAGCCTGGATCGCCGCTGAGCGTCTTGAAGCCTTCGACCTGTGTAACATGCATTATTAATAATTGACCCGCCTTCTGCAGCCATCCTCCCAGGACAGCACGTCTCCAGGCATTGGAAAAATTCGCCGCTAATTATCTGTTGGAGGAAACAAGCGCGAAGCCTTTCTTCGGGGCAGCATCCGATACCCTACTTGCCTACCCGCGCGCCGCGATCGCTGTCGAAAGGACGGCTTCGGCTTCGGAGTAGAAGCACATGAAGATGGTCATTGCCTTCCTTCCCTCCCATGCGAGTCAAGGTTGAGGTCGAGGACTTGTGGCGCGTTGTCGCGAAGACACAATTTTGGGTTCCCGGCGGAAAGACAACCGCCGTTGCCGCCTTTCTCCATACCAACGTGGCCTGATTCTGGGAACATTGACCGGCATCGCGAACCATCCAAGTGCCCTGGAGAAGCGAAGATGACTCCTTCGTCCCCATCGAGGCTTGAACCCGGTTCGGGATGCGAGCTACTCTCCGCTCCGTACTCGTCTCGACGCAGAGCCCCGCGACACACGCTGCGGTTTCTCCGCCCTCATCTGGGGGAGGCATGAATGACATATTATGCCGACAACCGCATCCCGTCCCGCCGCTGACCGCCGTCTGAATGAAACCAGGTCATCTTCGGGCCCTGTCTCGGCCTGCGCTAACGTCGGATCACCCACTCGGGGGACCCCACCGCCGTGCCACACGCCTGAACAAAGCCCTTTTTGTCCTTGGCCTTTTCGCCGACTCTCAGCGAGGTCGGAGAGCCGTTGGATTCTGGTTGGCCCAGGTCTAACTTCACAAAGGCATTCGGCCGACAGTAATGGCTTGCGACGCTCAGCCTCGGTTTGAAGTGGATAACCTCGAAACGCTGCGTCTGATCGGCCGGGGAGACGACGGTGCAAATTCCACGTTGCGCGGAATGCAGAGCGACCTTGACTACATTCCATCTTGCTAGCCAGCATGCCAACGGCTTGTAAGCTGAGTGGCTGGCTGACGACCTGTCCATACTAAAAGAAGGATACCGACGAAGCAATTGGATCATGGTGGAAGGTGTTGCGGTCCCCAACGCCACTCTTTGGCATCTCCTGGCGCAGTTTCCTAACGACATCTCTGTCATGTCAACATCTCCGTCACATGAAAGCTCCAGAGAGGCCCCGGCGACGAACGACTTGAAGCGCACGACGCATAGCTATGTTCGCTGACTGCTGGGGAAGCCTATGTTGTGTGGCTCACGCCTGCATACTCAACGAGCAAACAAGCTCGCTGGCGGTGATTCACTTACAGGGACGCGCCCTTCGAAGTCGAACCTGGTTGGGCTGAATATCGTATGCCACGAAAGGTGATGACGGACCGTTGCCGTTGACGTCGCTCTCGGAGTCTCTTTCAATCCTCAGGTTGCACCGGTGATATTGGCTGTCCTCGGCTTCATTCTGATCTCTGGCACCCAGTGGGTGTCCCAGTCCTTTCCACCGCTACGTACGTCTGTCGTTGTCGTTTTCATCGGCATCATACCTCTGAGCAATTCCCGGACAGTCAAAAGACAACGCCCGCCTGGCGCGGCATTCAAGGATTCACCATGCGCCAGTCGTACGGTTTGGTTGTTCAATTCTTTTCATCATTAGCTTTTGTGGCGTGTCGTCTGTCTCCCACCGCCGGTTGGGTGTCTCGTCACCAATTGATAGTACACATGAAAATCGCAATGACAAGGTGGTATAGAATTAGAAGCCCCCGCGCGCTGACCGACCCCGAACGATACACTAACCCCGAACGCAACCTGCTCCCCCGCCTCCTATCACGAGTTCAGGATGGCGGCGTGGCACTCGGTGCCGATGTTTGGTGTCTCAAGCGCCGTCCGGTTTTGAGGGCCTGGCTTGAGGTAGCAGTTGCCAGGCGCTTTGCCCTCCACGGCGCCTGATCTCGTCGTCCACAGAGGAATGAAGCTGACCCCTGCGCACGTCGCATTGCCGTTGAAGCCGGCTTCGTATGAGCTAAAGGAAGCGCAGGCGTCCATGCAGTTGTTGAAGTTGGCGGTGAAGAGCGACATCAACGGGGCGTTCGGGGCGTTGGAGTTGCAGAACATGGTGAAAGTCACCTTGTTGAAGACTGTCATGCCTGTCAGAGGGGGATCCTGCGGAACGTGGTCTCGGAATTGAACTTACAGTCTGTGGTGTACGTCTGTCCCGTCGTCGTCTCGTCCTTGTTGGAACAGTTGTTGGAGATGGAAGCGAACCCAGTCGCCGTCGCCGAAGAGCTCGCCGCCGTCACCGTCACAGTCGCAGATGGCTGCGTGCTAGCCGAAGCCTCGAGGGCCGCGAGCTTGTCGAGTGCATCATTCGCCCGGTTCGCCTCCACGCCTGTTCCTGCTGCCAGACCGATGACGGCCGCGGCCAACACTGCGATGATGATGGAGAGGATGAAGACGAGGAACGTGCAGCCGCAGACGGTTTTCCTGCTCTTCTGCGGCGCGACAGACTCTCCAGGTGCGTGATACGTCGAACGATGGTCCGCGGTGCCGCCATATACTGACGGATCAACTGCCGTTGACGCGTAGGCTCCTCCATATGTCGAGTCCTCTCTCTTGATCGGCGTGACAACTTGCGGTTGGGGCGAGGTGGGATAGGACTGAGCAGGAGGATGGTACACCTCGGGATATGCTTGATGAGGTGCCACCTCGGGGCCTTCGTCATAATGCTGAGGAGTCGACATCTTAGTACGGACAATCCAGACGTCTTGGCTGAGGGTTGAAGACTTTAGGAAACCAGAAGGCAGGAGAAGGGAGCCAAAAGACGGAAGGAGACCGGCGACTTACCACTGGGGCCATTTTTATGTACTCCGCTCTACTCATATAGTCCGCTCAAAATACAGAGAGCAATAGAAGAAAGGCGAGGCGGTGCTTGTTGGCTGAAAGGATTGGCAAGTTGTGGGACGGGAGGCATAAAGCTAGACCAACGAGAAGAACCGAAGGAGCGGCGGATGGGAAGACATTAAAGCCCAAGCTGCAGTAAAATGTGACAACTTGGTGCCCTCACCCCCGGTGTTACCCATCCTTTGGGCTGATGGTCAACTTAGTATGTGGACAGCCAGGAGAGACAGTCGCTACGCCTAGCTTGCTACACTAGTCGAGGGGGCCAGTCCTGGGCGGGATCCAGTCCATGATCGCCATCCGCACACACACTCGGCGGGCGAAGTACTGCAGGGGGCACGCAGGAACGGGGGCCGAGACCAGCAGCAGCACCCGTATCACTTTGCAGGCGTAGGTAGGTTTGACATGCTGGCTGCCTGGCTGGCTCTTTACCGATGTTGTCTTAGACGAGCTGAGCCGGGAGTAAACAGGGTAAGAAAAAAGCTTGGTTAAGATGAACGGACTGATCGTGCACGGCATGGTTTGTAAGGCCGGCGCTAAACATCCTTCTAATCTACGGTAGTACGGATATCGTCCGTGGTGAGATTTTGAATGGTAGAAGCCTGGGACGCGCTTGGTTAACGACTTAGCCGCGAAGTAGGCAAATACGCGAGCGAGTCGTCCCAAACCAGCCACGAAAGCTTGTTATGGTTGTGCAGTATGCCACTGCCAGCGAGTGGATGTCTTGGCTGTTCAACGTGATCGACCCTCCAGCTTCATGACGGAAATTGGCTTTATTGCAGAACATTCACCGGCGATGCCTTGTCCTACGACCCCCTGGACGAACGAACCGTGGTGACGGGAAATGGCCAATGAAGAAGGGCCATTGTGCAATCTCCATCCAGAAAAGATGAGCATCACGACATCTTGTTGCTGGGCTGTCTAGCGCTGACCGGCTGGGGAAGGGGACCCATGTGCTAGGTATTCGTAGGTACGATTCCGAAGTTGAGGACGGTTTGTGGGCCCCCCACCTTTGGCTCAGAGTCGTAGCAGTTGCGTGCCTATTGCAACCCTATCGTTTCTGTCAGCCAGGTTCTTGGGGCGACAGTCTTTCTTTTTGACATTCCGTGGCCGCGGTGTTCAGGTGTGCTGAGGAAGAGTCCAAGATTAGACATGGGACGAAGGGAGAGGCGCCGTCTGCCTTGAGTGATTATGTTTGATTCTGGCGCCGTTGTGGCGCTCCCGCTATCGTTTTATCAGCAGCTTAAGCCCTTCCCGCTGCACGTTGTGGTGCACCAAGTGCCACGCTTCTGGCCCTACGATGTCTCGAGAACGCTCAGCCATGGAGGGCTGGTCGTGAAAATACCTTCTTCCTCCCCCCCTCGCTTCGTCCCGCCGGCAGAAGGCACAGAGTCATGTGGGTGGTGTGGTCCTCTCCGAAGGGGCCTATCACAAACAGCGGTTCGTGGAAGGGTTGCCGCATTTGTCAGGTTCGTCTTGGCTAATGGAATCCTATCTCTCTCGTCTTCTTCAGCCCCTTCTCTGTCCCAGCAGGGGGCGGAAAACAGGCAGGTCAGACGGGCTGGAGGATCAATAGACAACATCCCGGCAATCGTTGACCTATCAATATAAACAACATCACCTCGTCGGTACCCGGCTCTTGACCGACATTTCCCAATAATCTGCAGATTTTCGACTTTCCTTTCTACTTGCGGGAGCAGCAAGAAGGCTCTGGCTGTGAAAGGATGAAAAGATGAGCGAATCTTCCAGGATGACCCTGTGTAAGGAGGGCCACCTTGGGGCTGGCCTGAGCTTCTAGCCCCCTGTTTCTGTTGTTAGTCTCGTCAGACCCCGCAGCCCCCGCCATATCGGCCAAGCCATTTGTGGCTTTACGAGGCGAAGCATCCAATCAGTGTGCCTGGGCCCCTGGAAATAGCATTTAGGCAGCACAGAATCCCGGGATCCAATACACACTCTCCGATCGAGCTTTCTTTCACTGCAACCTGGCTCCACTAGAGATGCCTTCCCCAATCCGAGCCTACGAATAGGCGCCAAGAGAAAGCAGTGGACGACAGATCGTGAACAAGGGCAGAATCGCCGACCCGGCTGTCAGCCATCATGTTAAAAGCCCACAGACTGTCTCGATGTGGTCGTTGGAAGTGCTCCCAGAGGAAATCACCCCTCCGCTCCGTTGACTCGAGACTGGCGGCTTGATCGCATTTGAATCGCAATTTCTGGCCGAAGAAAGAACCATGAGCATCACGTCGCCAACCTAGGTGTAGAAACCTCAGACGAAGCTTGATCATTATGTTTACCTTGGCGGAAGGGGTAGTTGCCTAGTAAGGCCATTCAGGAAGCGAGTCCCTCACAAGTCGGGCAATGCGACCCTGGCCCCTTCGTGAAATGATCTCTGCCGCCTGCGTGTAAGGGTCGCTCACGAATGATACAAAGTCCTGCAATGCGCTCAATCCGCCATTGCGTCTCCATTACAAGACATCGACCGCCGTAGTCGCGTGCTTCCCAAGCACAGTTTGGCAGCTTGACGGTCGACATTGCAGATAGCTCGTCTCATCTTCTGGGGCGCAGGGGAAGAACACGGCAACTGCAGGGACGACCAAGTCTTGGAGCTGCGATCTGGGTACCGGTGGCGACGATGTTCTTACAGATCAATATGGATGGTGTTCGGGAGGCATCGCATCTGTTATCGGTGGAATCAGAGCAGTGGAGGACGCAGACGTGCCAGCCCATGTCTCGCAGCAACTGGACTGATGCTTACCCCGCGAAACTCGTCGAGGCTCCGAGGAACGTGTCAACGACTGTGCGTTCAGCAGGTGCATGTGAGCTTCGGGCCAGTCAAAGTCAGTGTCAGTCAGCCATGGTTGACAGCTGGGTCGATAGGGCATGACACATTTCGGTCGAGATGAAAGGGAAGATTTTTGGTTACCCCGCGTGTTCGGTGCGTGGGCGAGAGTGTGTTCCTGGGCAGGGCCGTGTACGTACGTCCAGCAGCAGCAGCAGCGGTCGTTGTTGGCATTGCGTTGGCAGCGAGCGACGTGGGGACGTTACTGGACCAGGGATTAAGCTTCATCGTATTCCCTTCCCCAGTTTCATGGGCTCTTGAAACTATGCCGCCCGCCGCACTTCGCTAGAGTTGACGAACGCGTATGCCCCCATTGGCAAATCTCAAATCATTTTGCAAGTGATGATTGGCCTGGAAACTCACACGGGCTGAAGGCAAGTGCCTGGTCGAGGGTGATGAAGGCAAGGTGTCCATCCACTGGCCTCGGATTTGGCTTGAAGTCTACCATTTCCGCAACCTGCCTACGATGCAGTACAATGTGGTCAGCAAGGTTGCGAGACCGATTGGCATCCGCAAGGCAAGGACGGGTTGGTGGTCCAGGCGAAAGCTCTTCAGGAAGGACGGACACCAGCGTGGCAGGGTGGTAAACCTCGGCTGCGATGACATGCACAAGTGAAAGCTGTTCAGGGCAAGGTTGCATGCGGTGTGGGCCTCGAACGCTGAAGTCAAGCGAGCAACGGCCTGCGAATGGCAAGAGATGTGATGTGCAGCGTTCGGGAATTTTCTCACCCTGGACCATGAGGATGAGGCTTACGAAGGAGAAGACTCAAGAGTGCTTCCAGTTGGGCGTCATCTGTCTCTTCTTTCATTCCTCTGACGGCATCTACATTACTGAATACCTTATCTCAATACCTAAGGTACCTTAGGTAACCTAAGGCAGTGGGCTGGCACTAGCAGGTCGCAGCTACCTTACCTTAGGTACCTTAGGTAGCTTACCTAGGTAGGCACCTACCTACCTACCTGGGCACCTAAGATACCAGAAACAGGCCCGTTCCCGTGTCGAGAGAATGGACCCGACGGGCACAGGCCAGAGCAGGTGCAAAACACCGAATGGCAAGCACTACCCAGCAGCTCCGGGTTGCGTTCCGGTGAAGTCGGGTGGCGTAAGGTCCAGGGTGGGAGCGAGCAGAGCACCAGACGCAGGACACTCGCAGCATGCAGCATGGAGCAGGAGCAGGAGCTGGAGAACCTTCAATCAATTCATTCCATTCCAGTCCACTTGGTTTTTCTAATTGCCATTTTTTCTTTCTCTCCCACGCCTACTCACTCGCCTCACTCGCTCGCTGCACTCTCTGCTCTGCTCTGCACCACCCGACCTCGACCGGGCCTCATCTTTGCTTATTCTTCCAGCTCCCGCCTCACCATCTGGCCACTCAACACGCGAGCTCGCCTTCGCCCAGTCCGGAGCCATTGGTCGGCCCACGACGTTGCCCCGAAGCCCAGCGTGAGCGATGCGACAAGCCATGTTTCCTCGGCCGCAAATTGAATAATGCACGGCGTACTACTCTCAGCGCCCGTCGGCAACCAGCCTTTCGTCTTGCTTTTCACATCTTGATCCTTTTTTTCCAGCCTCTGCCCGCCTGCTCTGCGCTGCCCCGCTCGACCACCACCTCGTCATCCACAACCGACAAACCATCGTCGTCCGCCGTCGTCACGACTTGCCATCGTCGGCGTAGCCCGCCTCAATTAGGCGACCTCATGTAACTTGATACCGAACGGCATCAAACAAGACGACGCCAACGAAAGAACCTGTTCATTTTTCGACCTTTGGCCATTCGAGCTCCCGGCCGACCCCAGCTCTGGAGTTATCCACCGCCTCACGCTCGTTATCGTACCCGTATCCCCTGCGCTCCCTCCGTTCCCCCACCAATCCGCTGCTTCGTCCTGTCTTTCTTAACCCCTCCCCGCCCATCCAAGCTCTATCGCAACTACCCGCCATGCCTACCTATCTCTGTCACGGTTTTCGTTGGGATCGCCGAAGTATTCGAGTTTTCGTCGTTGTCCAAAATATCGATGATGCCGCCCCGGAATGGATCATAGCGCCAAACTCTTCTCCCGCTATTCTCGAATCCTTCTACTCCCTCTTCGATTTTCTCCCCGAACCACCTCCCGAAGATACCGAAGCCCAACGAGAAAAGAAGAAGCGGAACAAGTCCAAGCCTCCCAAAGCTGGTGTTCTCAGGAACGAATATGACGTTCCACCCTCAACTGTGCCGCCCGAGGAGGACGATGTGTTGCAGAACAGCTGGAGTGCCGTGAAGCTACTCGAAGAATACGACCCGACAGATTTGAGCTACGTCAGTCGCCCCTACGCCTACGTCGCCGACCATGTCGTGCGCATCGATTTGAGCAACTCAATCGCGGAGGAGATCATGCGCTATGAAGAGCGGTTGGGCGAGACAAAGGCCATGGCCAGTACCCCGAGTGACGAGTTTTACAAGGCCAAGAAGGGCTCGACATCGGGGAAAAAGGCAGGGTGGTTTGAGAAGCTGAGGGATCAGCTGCAACGTGGTGAAGATATTCGATGGTATGTCGTGGTCTGTGGTGACGAGGTGCGCGACTTCCCCGAAGATATGGGTGCAGCCAAGGAGCAAGCGAGGGAGGACGACCCACGGGATGCAGAAAGCGAGACTCCGAGGGGTCGCGATAGGAGTGCAGGCCCATCATCGAGACCGACAGCCTCGCCCAAGGAGTACATATCAAGCGTACCGGCCAGCCAATTCGCGTCGGCAATGTCCCCGCAGCAATTACAAGTCTCGCCAAAGGAGGCGGGACTGCCCTATGGCACCCTTTTCCAGCACCCCAACATGAACACGGGGGAAACGCCAGCACTATTACAAACGAAGCCATCTATGGATTTTAGGCCCAAGACGCCCAAGGGTGGTGGCTTCAGGAGGCTCTTTGGGAAAAAAGACGAGCCATGAAAGCCCTAAGTCTACGGAGTGCATCGGGGAAGGCTTGTCATCATGTGCGTATAGTCGTTGCATTTATTGTTCTGGCCCGAACACCACGCAACATCGACCTCATGATATCCCCAATTCTGGCCGAGCAAACTCTACGGGAGGGAGCATTATTACAAAGCGACGGCGAATAATAAAAGACTTGTTTACATCCAAAAGAAAATGATGGAGAGCTGTCATGATACATTACCGCCTTGATCGTCGTCCTCCCCCAATCCACTAACTGCAGCCGCAATGAGCGCCCCCGGCAACCCCAGCTTTCCGCGTTGCGATGGCAGGGGTAAGCTTGCTACGTCATTGGCCGAGGCCTCTCACCTGAGCTGTATGGCTGTTCCAGGTATTTTAGCAGGAACGCGCCCAGCTCGCTCCTTCGAGACACCAGCATGGACTAAAGCCATCCCCAACGCCCATTTTTCTCATGCGGTTGTGCGGCTACCTACACTGCTTGCGTCGTGCGAATTGGTGCGCGAGTCGGCCAGCTGCAGCCTTTCCTGTTTCCATGGTTTAATCAACAGTTCCTCTCCGTCACAGACTGTGGCCACCTTGCGGTCTCGCACACATCGATACGTATGATATCTCATCATGGCCCAATTCTCGAGGCTTCGCGTCCCTGACGCCTCCTCGAGAGCCGGCGAAACGTCGCCATCGTTCGCCCAATCAACAGCCGAATTCGACCCGGACAGCGATCTCGAGCTCGACGGTGCGGAAGGGGATTTGCAATTCCGTGAGGCAGAGCTCGGTGGAGGCCAGGCCTATGAGCTCAAGAGCTTGGTAAATCCAGCAGGAAAAAAGGACGACGGAGGCGAAGACGACTTATTTTCTTCACGGAGGCGGATGAGCAACAGCACCGTTTCGAGCTTTCAACTATACACCCCCGACGAGGAATGCGCAGTTGTTCGCAAATTCGATAGACGGTTGGTTCTGTTCGTGGCGCTTCTGTTCATGCTGAGCTTTCTGGATCGGTCAAGTTTGTTTACCATTACAACACCTCTAGCCATGTTGATGCTGATGACATGTCGCACACAGATATCGGCAACGCGCGCATCGCAGGTATGGATGAGGATCTTCAATCGCATCCACCTTGGGATGGCTGGTACGAATGGACGCTGACAGCCTTCTACATCGCGTACATCGCCTTCGAATGGATGTCGTTGTTGTGGAAGCTTATTCCGGCACACATCTACGTCTCCATAATTGTCTTATCGTGGGGCTTGACCGCTGCGCTCCAGTCAGTCGCCGTGTCCTATCCAATGCTCATCTGTCTTCGTGTTCTACTGGGAATTGGAGAGGCAGGGTTCACTGGGATTCCGTTCTATTTGTCCTTCTTTTTCAAGAGGGAGGAACTTGCGTTCCGTACTGCTATCTTCATATCAGGTTCGTCTGACTCGACAACGCCCTCCGCTTCAAGGCACTGACTCTGTGTAGCTGCGCCGCTAGCGACAACCTTTGCGTCTTCACTGGCCTGGCTGATCATCAGTTTCGCCGAATATGGCCCAATCGCTCCGTGGCGCCTACTTTTTCTAGTCGAGGGGTTCCCCTCCGTCCTTGTAGCTGTAGCTGCCTGGCACATTATCCCGGACACTCCGGAGACGGCACCATATCTCACGGCACGAGAACGCAAAGTGGCACGACTCCGCCTTCGACATCAGAAACCGCATCGGACGCGTAGCGAAAAGAAGGACCCTGGTCTGAAGCTTCGCGAAGTGGTCGTCATCCTCTGCGATCCAATGGCCTGGTTGACGGCTGCAATGTTCTTTCTAACAAACATGGCGTATTCTTCCCTGCCCGTGTTCCTGCCCAAGATTCTGCACGAGATGGGTCACTCTCGCTTGGAATCACAGGGGCTTAGTGCACCTCCTTATTTTCTGGCCTTCCTCTTTGTTTTGCTGACGGCACACTTGTCCGACCGATTTCAGATACGATCGGGCCCAATAATCTTCCACGCTCTCGCATCGGCGGCTGGATATGCCGCCTTAGCATTGTCAGAGCCATTCGGCCTGCCTCCGCCGCTGCGCTACCTGGCTGTGTATCCCGCCGCGATAGGATTCTTCAACGTGGTGACACTCACCATTACATGGAGCATCAATAACCAGCCCTCCGAAAGTAGGCAAGGGGGTGGATTCGCCTTTATGCAATTCATTGGGCAATGTGGACCACTCGTGGGGACGAGGTTGTATCCGGATCGAGATGCACCCTTCTATATGCCTGGCATGCGGACCTGCGCATGCGCGATGCTCGCTGTAGCTGTTCTTGCGCTCATCCTAAGATTTTACCTCGGCTACTTGAACCGAAAGATAGACGCATCAACCACAGACAGCGTTGATGCCGAAGAAGAACAAGGCCTCGTCGATTCTGCTGGGCGTTCAAAGACAGTGAATGAAAACTTCAGATACATGCTTTGATAGCCTGGAAGATATTATCATCGGACAATTGAGATTCTGAATAGGGGTTTTTATCTCTGCCGACATGATGTTGGAACGCGTTATTTAGGGTGCCAATGAAGATCAGCGTAGACTTTTCCACATCTGTGGAGGGTTGCTACGCCTCATCCAAACTGTTGGAGCCAAGGTCCCAAGTTGACATGAACACCCGTGCACGGGCCAGTTGCCCATGCAGCTCAGACCCCAGGCGAGATGTGTGGAGATGGATCTGATGAGACCTCGGCCCCATCCATCTACCGTCACTCGTTATCCGAACGCCGGAGGTGGACTTCTCACAGCCGCATCCTCAACTCAGTTCGCCATCGGTCTCAGGGTGGAAAAGGAGTCATCATCACTCATTTGGTGAGGCGCAACGTGTGTCATGTTACTATTCAAGAAGTACATCAATCCTATCAAGATCCGGCCCATCACCCACAGCTTGGCAGCAGTCCCGTCTCACCGGTCACCAGCCGCGGCGGCAAGAACAATAACAACCACAGCAACCATGAAGTCGGAAAATCCAGACGCTAAGCACTTCCTCTCGATCCCATGGGCCGCGGCGCATATCGATGCGCCGGGGACGGTCCGCGAGACGGCGTCGTCGCGGTTCCCGAAGCAGGACACCGAAGACGAGCTCTTTTCGACAACGCTGCACACCGACAAGACCATCGCGGCGTTCCTGACGCTGTACAAGCGGCCATCCGCTGCTTATGGGGAGAACATGATTCGCGAGGTCAAGGCATTGCTGACCCTGCGGCACGGGGTCAATGGGTACCCCAACGTCTCTCACGGGGGTATCGTGGCTACGATTCTGGACGAGGTCATCGGGCTGGTGTTCCCGGTAAACAAGATCAACGGACTGATCCCAGATGGGGCGTACATGACGGCGTATCTCAACACGCAGTACGTCAGGCCCGTTCAGACGCCGCAGACCATCTTGGTGGTGGCTACGGTGAAAAAGGTCGAAGGGCGCAAGTACTGGATCGAGGGCGTGATTGAGGACAAGGACGGCCAGGTCTTGGCCAAGGCGGAGTCATTGTATGTCAAGGTTAAGGAAAAGCTGTGAGTGGTGAGAAGGGTGGTGCGTAGAGGGAAGCTGCAGCTTGCCGGAGGTATCTAGATATGCGGTTTTTGTATAGAGTAGACATCGGAAGGCCGGTATTGTTTCGAATACATGTGATGAATATGAAAGGACGGTTCAATTTGGCATTAGAGTCTGGAGAAACCCCAAAATGAATGGTTGACATCGAGGATGAGAAGATGTCCCAGGTGGCGCTGATGACAAGCACGATGCGGACTGATCAATGTGACCGCGTGTAGCGATAACAGCAAACGTGTAGCGATAACAGCAAATGAGATGACTACCTTACGTTTAAATGAAGTCTTTTTTGAGAAAGAGCGTCGGGCTTTATGAAGCGGGAGACTTGTATTTACTCGAGAGAGTCGCATAGGGAGCACCCGCCCCACCATCCAAAATGTTTCGTTCTGACCAAAACACCATGCCGCCATCACCATCTCAGGATCTCACATCGCCATAAGTTTACAACCTCAAAAATATCGAGAGAAAAAAAGCAAAAAGAAGAAAAGGCAAAAGTTTAACAACGCGCTGCGATAGCGCGCCACATCGAGCTTGTCGTGAACACACAAGTCAATAGAGACTCGAACTTAGTGGTATTTATACGGCCTCTATCTGAGCACGCCAACTGTGCTTTTACCGACTGAGCCAAAGGCTCGCATCAATGCCGAACTTGTGATGGGAGCTCTTCTTTTTTTTAGGGGGCATATACCTTTGCGCGAATGTCCCAGCAGGGTGTGAGGGTTGAGTTGGGAAAGCACCTGAGGTTCGTGGTTGCCTTCGCCGTCAGGGTTGCTGGAACCACGGATCAGCAACCTAGGTACGTTACCAATAACCACAAAAGGTGGGCCCATAAACACTCGATACGCGCTGGGCCGGATGCCTCCTGATTTTACAGCTTAGCCTACGAGTTTCTTGTTTTCCTCTTTCGCAGAGTTTTCCTGGCAACGTGCTGATGATACTTAACTACCTGCTCTCCCACAAGGGGAGATGAGGCTTCTGGCGATAATGAACCAGTGCAAAGCACATGAACTAGAAGCCTGCCTCACTAAGTAAGGAGTTGGTTTCTAATACTTATACCTCTTTCGAAATGGAGCTGCAAAACGTTTTGCGCTGCATTTTCATGCCCGCCAGTTTAGATGCCAGGTGTCCCTAGAAAGAAGCCGAGTCAGGGTATTGAGGATACAAGGTACTAAGCAGTGCTTGAGAAGTTTGGTATAGCACATGAAGAAGAATAGAACAGAGCTGTCTAGGTGCCGTCAATGTTGGCCGATATCGTAGACGTGGAGAGGTGAAGTCTGCAGAATACGTCCTGCGGCTCCGACGACGAGACGTTGACTGACCAAAGCGGGTCACCACGCTAAACCTATTTGGGACTCGATTTCTGGGACTTCGCCCCGGATCCACCTAAAATTTCATCCTTCATCGTCAATTACATCCGCCATCGCACCCTCGCGTTTCCGGATTTCAACATAGAGATTCGCGGTTCCTTTTCGTACTGACTCGGACCAAGTCTCAATCTACACACACTCAGACGAATCGGGAGACAAATCCACTCACCGAAGCAGAAAGGCGGTGCACTCGTATCTCACCTGCCGCCGAGGCATCATCTCTCACCAACGTCGAACGCACACACACACCCTCTCTTCCCGGAACATGGCTCCTAAGCGCGCCGCCGAGGGCGCAGCATCCTCGGATGCTTCCAAGAAGCCTCGCAAGGGTTTCCGAGTTGGCCCAGAGAACCTGCCTGAAGGACCCTGGCGTAGAAAGAGTGAGTTCCCGGTCTGCTGAACACAGCGACCTCAGTCGCTGACAGGCCTTACAGTCGAAAAGAAGAAGGCAGAACTCATCCACAAGGCCAAGATCAAGAAGCAATATGCCAAGATCAAGGAGAGGGAGCTCGCTGCTCAATCGTCATCCAAGAAGCAGCCGCAGCAGCAGCAGCAGCAGCAGCCCGCCGCGAAGGACTCTAGCGACGATGAGGACGAACCCAAGTCTCAGACACCAGAGGCACCTGGAGTGGACTCCACGTCACCAGAACTCGAACAACATGAAGAAAAGCCGACGCCATCAGGCCCCGACCCCTCAGAAGTCCACCCGACCCGCTCAGACCTGATTGCCAACGACGGCGAGCTGCCCAATCCAAACACCATCGCCGTCAAGCGCAAGCATGGCAAAGGAGAAGACGACGACGACCATGATGCAGACGACAAGGACGGCGAGGACGACGCGGGCGTGGACCGTTATAAGCCGCGCAAGCCCCGCCGCCCTCGCAAGCCAGGTTACTACGAGAAGCAGCTGGAGCGCGCTGAGAAACGCAAGGCCGAGGCCGAGGCCCGTCGCGCCGAGATCCAGCGTCGTCGCGAGGAGCGCGAGCGCAAGGTCGCCGATCGTGAGAGGTTACGTCGCGCCATGGCCAAGGCCCGCAAGGGCAGCGAGAACGGTCAACGGAAGCTCGGCCGGGAGAGCTCGTTATTGCTGGAGAAGGTGAAGCGCATGGTTGGCAACTCCAAGTGAGCAAGTGCCTGGAATCGCATACAGTGCGGCGGCGTAAATTTCTTTTTCAATTGCCTACCTAGTTTGATACCACATGTCACATATTGTATGGTTGTAGGCATTAAGGGGTTTAAAAGTTCGGTTCGGGTTTTTTTTTTTTTGGCTTTTGGTCTTTTCTTCTCAGAAAATGAGATGGCTAAACCATCCACTTAACATTTGCAACGGTACTGCTTCAAATGCCATTGTTCCGCAATGACACCCTCCTGTGTGCAGCTATCATGCCTCCCGTCAGCCATCCTCATTCTTCGTCATCCACTATGCGTCATCGTCTGCACCACCCTCTCGACAGCTCGGTAAAAAAAAGCCCGCCGCAAATGAAATCATGCTCAGCACTCGGAAGCCAACGAGTGAGAGTAAGTAAAAAGTGCGCTCGCAACGAATGTAAACACGTCCCGCCGGTTCTTACTCCCAAACCCGCCGTTGAGAAACAAGAAACTCCTTTCGTGCCCCGAGGCAAGAAATGTGGATATCATTAAAGCTTCCTAGCATGGAACGCCCCTTTTTCTGCAGTCGTGGCAACGGTCAACGGAAAAAACGGAAATCCAAACGTGAAAAGTCAAAGGCCGTCAGCGATGGGCAGGTCGTCTTCGAGCTAGGAACGGTGAAAGAAAAGCTGTCGAAGGCGTAAGGTCGTGGGGGTGTGGATATATACAAGTTTTCTTTTTTTCCAACACGGCAAAAGTCCATCCAAGGCCAGCTGTTTAATCGATGAAGATGGCATGGGTGTTCTCAATGACGAATTGAACAGCCAAGTTCTTGGCGTGCATGTCTGTCATCTCTCGCTCGAGGCTGGTATCTCTCATGATTGTCGGAGCGAACACAACCGCAAGGTTTTTGGGAGACATCTAAGCCGCCGGTTAGCTACACCACACACTACGCCACTGTGAAGAAGACATACCAAATTCTCGGGTTCTCTTTGAGCCACCCGCGCAAGATGAAACATGAGGAACTCAAGGCAGTCGCGATGACGCTCAGGCATGGAACCGAACACGTTGCGAAGGTGATCGCAGCGCTCAGTCTTATCCGTGATGGCTGAGAAAAAAGAGATTGTCAGTACTTGGGGTCGACTTGTTCCGGGAAGAAACTTACCATTGGACTCAAGCACCCTGTCGTAAATATCAAACGTCAACAGCGGGATTGGAAGCTTCCTGAAGTATTGCTTCAACACACTCGTCACTGCTGTGATATCGAGGCCGGGGTCCGAGATGTCGTAATCCTCGCTCTTGTCAAACCCTTCCTGAATCATCTTCACCTGAGAGTTGCCACCCGTCTTTCGATAGATACCCTCAATATCCATACCACGGAGCTCTACCTCCTCAATACAACGAGTGACAACGCTGGGAATGGTGCGGCGCTCGAAGTCGGCTCTCTCAACGAGGTCAGAGCCGAACAAAGTAGAAGGTGCCTCCGCAATTGCGGGTGTTGCCACATTTGTTGTAGACATCGACTTGCCGGCAGCCTTCTTCCCGAAGAAACCAAAGCTTTGTTGCGAAGGTGCACCTTTCTGGGCGTTGTTCGGAAGCTGAGTACTCGGGGCTTCGACCTGAGAGACGGTCATGTTGTATGGCAAGCCGATATTGTCGCCTGTAAGCCCTGGCTGGTGTATGCCACGCTCACGATCATTCTGGAATGCGACGACGGCTCGGTTGACACCCTTGGCCACGTTCTGCGCCATGCTCTTGCCTCCCTTTTTCCAGTTGAACTTCTTAACCTGGCCCTTGCGAATATCCACAACTGTTGGCCTGGCCTCCACAACAGGTTCCTCTGTCTCGTGGACAAGTGTAGTGGTCATGCTGGCGGAGTCCGCCAAGTTCAAGTTAGATGAAGAGAACACCTTGCTTTGACTATAGATGCCTAGACCGTTGGGTGACTTCAGTTCGCCCCCGATTTGAGACTTGAAGCGTTCTTGGATCTGGTGGGTGAGATCGTTATTCATGTCGGCGAGCTGGGCGTTCTTGGATGAAAGCTGCTCAAACTCGAGCAGAGCACGATCTCTGTCGGCGATAGCCTGGTTCTTCTCGTCGATCAACTCGTCACGTTCGGCGTGAAGCTGCTCGATAACGGCGCTCATAGTCTGCTTCACCTTATCAAGCTTCTGCACGAATTCTTTGATCGCGGAGTCCTCGAGATCGCGAGGGTCCACAGGCTTCTTCGTTTCCTTCGCACGTTCGACGTATCCAGCCAGTACCTCCAACTGCCTGATCATAATCTCAGTCTGGGTATCCAATACCGAGACGGTCTTGCGCTTCTCAATTAGGGTCTTGTTCAGTCGCTTCAGGTCCTTCTCAGAGGTGAACTGCCTCTCGAGCTCCGCCACGCGGTTTTCCGAGTTTCGCAGCTGCCGCTTAAGCAGAGCTGGATCGTCGCTCGAGTGAAGCGAGATGGGACTGCTGATAATCTCGTGGTTCGATGGATCCTCAGCGATGGGCGTCTTTGGCCAGCGAGGGGATGGTGTACCACGGGTGGTCTCGCTAATACTCCTTGTGTGGCCGGTGACTCTGTGAGGGTGCTGAGGCATTTGAGGGTGACTGGATTCGGTGCTATTGGTGCGACCATGACGAACGGCGTTCGACACACGACGAAGTATCGATGAAGAACCTTCGTCAGTGCCCAGAATCCTAGCCATGTCCTCGTCCATACTGAAGTCGCCACCTGCACTCCATCTCGGTAGCTTGGGCGAAATCTTCTCTTCGCTTGACGCATTCGCCTGATCCTTTGCGGGAGGTTTGGGGGTTTTCGCGGGAGCTCCGGGCGGTTGCGGGGGTGCTCGGGGCTGCATGTAGGTGTCGCTGAGCTTGTGCTCAGTCATATTCGGGCGCGCGGCAGCGGAAAGTCCCGATGAGCTTGTCTCATCATATGTGTTGGATCGCCCAGCAGGGCCGACGGTCTTGCCGTTAGCTGTAGAGAGAGAAAAAAAGTTAGAGTCAGTGCGTCCTGCATCGATATAAAACATGGGTTCGAGAGCACATACCGTTGCGGGTGGGCAATTCCTTTCTGGTGATGGACTTGGCCGTCACGTCTGTTCGAGATGAAGAGATGGAATCCATGGAGGGTCGCACATCGCCTTCATCTCGCTGTCTCGAGTCCTGGGACGATCTCGGGGTTCCGTTACCCATGCGAGGAGGAGAATCAGACGAAGGCAAGCTCGGGAATGGCTCCTTGTCTTTGCGCAGAACACCGTCACTGCTCTTGGCACTTCCGCTTTCAGGGGTCATGGCGGCGGAATGCGATGCGCTTCTTGGACTGACCAACTTCTTACTTTTGGGCGCATCCTGCAACTTGAACTCATCGATAGATGGCGACAGCTTGCCGGCGGTCACCTTTTGTGTCCTCTCATCGTTGCTGACTGATGCGCGAGGATCTCTCGACGACTTTGATGTTTTGCGCAGCGGCAGCTTGACCGATCCCGACTCGTAGTCGGATGAAGTCTGACGACCCTTCTCTTGGAAAGCAATGTGCGGCGTTGAAGCCGAGGAATCGTTCTTTTTGTCAGTGCTAGCTCGAGGAACGCTGTTGAAATAATCCTTGTCTTTCTTGGGAGCGCCTGACAAGTTTTCCGACGTCGAACGCGGGGCAGTATTCGAAATAGGTGACGGATCCAGAGCCACCGGGATGAAAAAGCCGTCATCGCCACCGTTGGTGTCGCCGGCGTGATTGTTTGGGGCAACGATTGTCGAATTGCGATTGTTGCGGTAGTTGGATGGGGGCAAAGACAGCCCGTCCTTGGCATTTTCTGAAGGGCGTTCAGGGGAGCGTGATGGTCGGCTGCTGTTCTTGGACGACGAATCGTTTCTGCTGTAGGCCGGGCGGGGTCGAGGTGATAACTCAGTCGGTGTATCAGAATCAGGGTCGACTCGAGTGTCGGAAAAGGCATTTGGAGGTATGGCATTGGGCGGAAGGGCGGGCAAGGACTTGTCGGTTATCATAGGAGACCCGTCCTTCTCCCGCGACTTGGCCTGGGCTGCTGCTTTCGATTTTTTCCTTCGTCTTGCCATGAGCGACTCGTGGCAGCTCATGCAGAAGATCCCCTGGGAGGTTCGCGCGTATCGCAGGTTCTCAATCTTTCTCTTACAGTTGCGACACCGGAAGCACGTCGCGCAGAACGCTTGGTCACCAGTGAGGATGGCGAGGTCTTCGATCTTGTTTCCGCAAGCACTGCAGCTGTATGTGCAGTTGTTGCAGATGAGCGACCCATCGCCGAGCAGGAGGAGGTTCGCGTCGGAGTCGAGAAGTGTGCCGCAGGTATTGCAGCGGAAGCAATTGAGATGCCATCGGTTGCCGGCTGAATCGGGAGGAGACTCGTTAGCATTGTTGAACTTGGAGACTGCCGGTGACATTGCCATGGGGGATAGCATGGCGATATTGGCAAGACAGTAGACGATGCCGAGCGGACAGCATGCAACTGAGTAGGGCAGATAGAGAGAGGGAAGGCGAGGGGGAAAAGAAGCAGCTGAGCAGACATACCAAGTTCGAACGCTTTGCCCTCTTCTAGGATCTAGTCGGGTAGGGCACCGCCATCAGTACGTGCTCGCAGACGGGCAGAAGTTAACGGGGTTGGGCCATCATACCTCTCCGCAGCCTTTGCAAGGGAAGACGTCGTCAGCGTCCATGGGGCTCTCCAAGTAGTCCTCCATGACGGCGGCCATGACGGGCAATTCGTCCTCGCAGCGGGACGTCGTCACGACAGATTTCTAACAGATGGGATGGGATTTGTCGAGGATCATGAACGTTACGTCGGCAGCAGGATGGTCGGTGAGCAAATGATCGACCAAGAAAAGTCGTATCATGGGACGACGAAGAGGGAAGGGGTCGGCAGGCTGTGCGGCTCGTGCCAGGAGCTCGACAGAAGGAGGCGTATACGTCGGGAGAATAGCGTCGAATGGGTGGCGCTCGGTGATGTGCTCAGGGTCGCGATGGTATCCAGCCCACACAGAGGGATGAAAAGTAGGAGATGGAACCAGGACAGCGGTGGCGGTGCGTGGCAGCTTTGGGGTGAGAGGTACCGTCGAGGTAGCGTAGGTTTCGTATGACTTCGGTTGGGCGGGTTGAGGTAATTCGTCGAAGGGGGGGAACTTCGAAAATGGACTTGCGGTACGGATACTCGAGGGCTCGGTGCCTCTGAGGGGGCGAAAAAGGGCGGCGTCGGGCGGTCGATCAAAGTCAAGGTAAGGTGAGCTGCTCTGCGAAGTAGCTGGCGGCTGACCTCCGGGTCTGGCAGAGACCAAGCAGAAGAAGCAGAAAAAGAAAACAACAGTAGCTGAAGCTGACACGAAAGCGTGAAATTGGAGATTTTGATCAGGACCTAGGCCCTCAAATCGTCGGGACGATGGGGAGGTGCGACGGCCGACGTGGAGGACGGGCGAGACTATGTTGACTGCGGCAAGCCAGGGCTTGACCAGGTGGTACCGGCTTAGCAGAAGAGAGGGCGAGCAGAGGAGGGACCACGTAGGGATCAGAGAGGCACGGGTGCCTTGGACAGGTTCAGGGGGGCTGTCCAGGCCCGTAAGGAGGTACAAGTGGGTGAATGAGTGCTCTAATGAGGCAGGGTGTAGAATACGCGCGGGCCTTGCGTTAGTGACGGAAGGTGATGTGGAAGACGGGATGTTAGTGCACGCGCGAAGGACAAGGAGGAGGAAGCCGTCGCTGCCTTCGATGCAAGCCGGAGAACGGCTCTAGGGGAAGAGGTGGGAAGGTGGCGCTTGACGTGGAATTTGGGGGGGGGGGGGGGGGGGGGGGGGGGGNGGGGGGGGGGGGGGGGGGGGGGGGGGGGGGGGGGGGGGGGGGGGGGGGGGGGGGGGGGAGGAGAGGGCACTTGTGTGTGTGCGTGTGCATGTATGTGGACAGGAGTTTGGGGGTTCTTGGGGAGTTTGGGGGGGAAGAGGGTGAGACCGATTGTGGACTTTGGGGGATTGCGAGCCGGGAGAAGGTGACGGGAGGTGGAAAGAGCAGCAGTCTGACAGGAGGACTTCTGGAGTCCTTCGGTCGGGGCGGTGCGGTACGGAGGGGGGACGGGGCGGGAGTGGGAGTGGGAGGTCGACGGCAGCCAGCCAGCGGTATCGCTGTCTCCCAGGTTGGCCTTACCTTGGAGTCCCAGAGGTGAGGTTCTGTCTCTCCAAGGCACCTAACCTTACCGTACCTGACCCTGAATTACGTTGTTGGATTGATGTTGGTGGCTTGTGTGGGAATCTGGCATGCAGAGCGCCGACAAAGTACTCTGTACCAGCCAAGGTATTGAGTCTCCAAGGCATATGTACTTCTGCACATGCACTGCAGAGGCTTCATGTATCTCCCGGCGGTGTGCATTGCGGCAGGCGACCTTGCCGCATGGGAAGAGTGACTTGGTCGCATTGTCTTGCAGACTCAGAACAAATCCCTTCTCTGCCTCATCCTCCTCCTCCAAAAGTATGTAAACTTCTTCTGCCTCTCGTCTCTTCATTATTTTCCCCATTTCTGCCCACGGAGGAGATAAAGTGACAGCCGAATGACGCACAGCCCAATAGCAAACGGGACAGGAGGAGGAGAAAGTGAAGGTGAAGCCGCCCCAGAGTCGGGAGTGTGGCACAACCGGTGGAACCCCTCGATCCCCTTTTCTTTCCTTTCCTTTCCTTTCCTCTCCTCTCCTCTCCTCTCTCCTCTCACCAGGTCCGCGGAGAGAAGGATGCCTTCCGTTCCAGCCAGGCACCTCAGCTTCTTCACTGGCTAGCTCGGCTCATTGTATTGGGTATTGGGGGATTTGGCAGGGGCCAGTACTTGCCGTTGAGTTGAAGGGTTGTGAAGGTGAGGTACTTGATACCCCTGCTTGTGGTACAACACCTGCACAGCACAGTCCTCTCCACCTTCCAGCGAAGTCCACACATGATGTTGAAATTGCAATTCGTATTGCAAGCGTCTTGAATTTCCAGCCTGATGGTGGTGTTGGTGGGTTTCCCCCCCCCC